ACTTGGGCTGTCCTCCACTGCTTTCCCAGGTGCATTAGCAGGGAGCTGGATTGGAAGTGGAGTAGCCAGAACTCAAACCGGTCCCATGTGGGATACCAGCATCGCAGGTGGTGACTTAACCTACTACACTACAATGCTGTTCCCCAAATTGGAAGACTTAATATTCCCTCCTACACACCTTTTTTTTTTAAACAAAAGTTTGTAAATGTACAGTAGGCCCTAAGACGACACTTCATTCTAGCTATGGGTGTCAAAAGATGCTATGGCAAGGAATCCAGATGTTTACTCAGGAATGGAGCCAAGGATCAGCACCACTTCAGGCACAAAGAACAGCTCAATTTTTTGCCAAATTTCTTAATTCCACCTGTGGCCAAGGGACCCTTACATGCAAACTCTGCCTGTAGCTCCTTGAATTTTTTCTGTTCTTCCTTTTTCTTTTTTTTTTTTTTTCTTTTTTTTTTTTTTTTTTGCTAGGAAGGGTTATCTCCCACCTCCGTCTCCTTGGCCTGCTTCTGAGGCCATTTCAGGGTTGACTTTGTTTTTTATTTTTTATTTTTTTAAGATTTATTTATTCTAAAATCAGAATTACATACAGAGAGAGGAGAGGCAGAGAGAGGTCGTCCATCTGATGGTTCACTCCCCAGTTGGCAGCAATAGCTGGAGCTGCACTGATCTGAAGCCAGGGGCCAGGAGCTTCTTCCGGCTCTCCCATGTGGGTGCAGGGGCCCAAGGACTTGGGTCATCTTCTACTGCTTTCCCAGGCCATAGCAGAGAGCTGGATTGGAAGAGGAGCAGCCAGGACTAGAACCGGCGCCCAGGCTGGCGATTCAGGCCAGGACGTTAACACGCTGCACCACAGCACCGGCCCCCAGGGTTGGCTTCTTGCCATCTTGATGGCCACACCTGGTGCCTTCTGCCTTGTTCTCAGACCCTGCCGCCAGGAACCCAAGCTTAAGACCCTTAAAACTGAGGTCTACTTCCTGTCAAAAATTTGACTTTTTTTTTTTTTTACCCCTTTCTGTTTCTCTTCATTCCTTTATTTCTCTTTGGGTTCCTTTTCCTGCCTTGAGGAACTCCTGTTTATTATTTATTTTGTGATGGAAATTCTGGAAAAGAATTGTCTGACTTTATTTTCTGTTTTTATTTTGCAGTCAGTTACTTGTTGGATATTTTTGCTATATAGAACATTCTAGACTGATAGCTATTTTTTTCTTTTGATTTCCATCATTTCTGTTGAGAAGCCAGCTGTCTTATTGTTGCTCTTTTGAATATAGTATTTCTTTCCATCTCTCTCAACTGTTTTTGAGGTCTTTTAGGGTTTTAGAATTTGTATTACGATGTTCCTATGTGTTAGTTTTCTTTGTATTTTTTCTTGATATTTTATAGTAGTTACTGAATCTGTTTATTGGTGTCTTTATTTGTTTTGGGTACATAGTTAACTGTTACCTCTTCAAATATTGTTTCTTCCCTGTTCTCTCTCTGCTCTCTCCCACTGCTTGGGACTCTAAGTGCACAGCACATTTCATTGTGACCCTGACCCTGTGCCTTGTGTGTTCTTTGCTGAACTTTCCATCCTGTCTGCTTCCCAAGCTTCAGCCTGGGTACCTTCTACTGACCCGGTGTTCAAATTCTTCTGCTCAACTGTTAAACTCATCTTCTGGATTCTTAATAGCTTCAGCTATTACACTTTTTAGTCCTAGGAGTTCTACTTAATTGCTTCATTTTTAGTTCCAGGATTTCTGCCTAGTAGTTTTATTTATTTATTCTTTAATGGATTTCAGCTCTGTCATTTATTTTCATGAACACAATAATCACAGCTATTTTTGTATTTGATAACTATGTTTTAGGTGTGTTATCTGTATTGCCTATTTTTTTTTTTAAGATTTATTTATTTATTTGAAAGAGTTACATATAGAGGAGAGCCAGAGAGAGAGAGAGAGAGAGAGGTCTTCCATCTGCTGGTTCACTCCCCAGATGGCCACAATGGCAGGAGCTGTGCCGATCGGAAGCCAGGAGCCAGGAGCTTCTTCCAGGTCTCCCACGTGGGTGCAGGGACCCAAGGGTTTGGGCCGTCTTCCATTGCTTTCCCAGGCCACAGCAGAGAGCTGGATTGGAAGTGGAGCAGCCGGGTCTCTCTAGCCGGGTCTCAAACCAGCACCCATATGGGATGCCTGCACATCAGGCCAGGGCGTAAACCCGCTGCACCACAGCGCTGGTCCCATGTATTGCCTATTTTCCCTTTGTCTTTTTTATTAGTTTATTTGATAAAAATTGATTCAGTGGCAGGTAAACATGTAGGAAATTTTAGAGGCTCTGGATGACCTTCTTGTTTGTGTGTGCAGGGTTTCCCTTGGGTGCAGATCACTCACCGTGATTGATTCTGGGACAGAAGTGACCCCCAGCTGCACTGCAGCCTGTGTTAGCATCACACGACCTCTGGCCCCTCCTGAGCCGTAGCTCTGAGGGACTTACTATGGGTGTTCTTTCCAGGTGGGGCCTAAAACCTCATTTTTATCTCCTTGGCATCGTGGGACTGTGAAAACCTCCTCATGCATTGCGAGGGCTCTGTGCTGCTGCTTCCTGGTCGCTTTTCCTGTGCAGCTTAAGAACCTGGCAACTGTCTCAGCAGGAGCCCTGCAGTGTCTGGCTCCTTCTCTGTGCCTCCCTGCTCTCTGAAGTTTGCAGATAAGTCCTGGGCACCTTTGCAGTCCTGACGCACAGTATCTGTTTCTCTAACTCAATGGGATTGCCAGCATCTATGCAAGTTTCTCTACACCAGCGTGACTTAGGGTTTGATGAGTAGGAGCTGCTGCTGTGGTGTAGGGGGTTTAGGCTACCACCTGCGATGCCAGCATCCCACATGGGCACCGGTTCGCGTTCTGGCTGCTCCCCTCTGACCCAGCTCCCTGATAATGTGCCTTGGAAAGCATCAGAGGATGGCCTGAGTGCTTAGAGCCCTGCCACCCATATGAGAGACCCAGATGGAGTTTTGGAAGCCTGGCGCAGCTCTGGCGATTGCCACCATTTGAGGAGTGATCCAGCAGGTTGAAGACCTCTCTTTTTCTACCTCCCTCCATTTCTTCCTCTTCTGTAGCACTGTCTTTCAAATAAATAAATAAATCTTTCAAAAAATTTTAAAATTTATTTACTTGAGAGAGAGTGAGAGCAAGAGAGAGGTCTTCCATCCACTGATTCACTCCCCAAATGGCTGCAACAACCAGAACTGGGCCGATCCAAAGCCAGGAGCAAAAAGCTGCTTCCAGGTCTCCTACATGGGTACAGGGACCCAAGCACTTGGGCCGTCTTCCACTGCTTTCCCAGGCCATAGCAGGGAGCTGGATCAGAAGAGGAACAGCCGGGACACAAACCCTGGCACCACAGGCAGAGGCTTAGCCCACTGTACCACAATGCAGCCCCATAAATCTTTAAAAGACTTGATAAGTCACTTCTTAATGATAGTAACATCAGTGGGAGTTGCAAGCTTTTTGTAAACCCCATAGTTTTTTTTTTTTTTTAATATTTATTTATTTGAAAGAGTTAGAAGGAGAGACAGAGGTCTTCCATCTGCTGGTTCACTTCCCAAATGACTGCAATGACTGGGGTTTGGTCAGGCCAAAGCCAGGAGCCAGGAACTCCTTCTGGGTCTCCTACGTGGATGCAAGGGCCCAGGGACTTGGGCCATCCTCCACTGCTTTCCCAGGCGCATTAGCAGGGAGCCGGAACAGAAGTGGAACAGCCGGGATTCAAACTGGTGCCCTTACAGGATGCCAGTGCTTCAGGCTGTGACCTAATCTGTGCCACAGCGCCAGCCCCTGAAAGATTTTACGTTATCTTGGTGGAAGCTTGGATACCGAGCTTCACCAACGTGAGTCCTTATATTGAACCCCAGTGGTAGGTTGGACTTTTTATTCTCTGTTGGTAACTCTGACATGTCCTGGCAAACTATCTGCCTTATCTGCTCTTTTCTGTCTCCCTTGGGTCTCTGCAAATCATAGTCCTCACGGTCATGTCCATCTAACACTTCCACGCTGCTAACAGTGTGTCAGGGAGACATGGGAGTGCTTGGCATAGGCGAATGCACTTAATTGTCTCAAGAGCTTCCTTTTAAAGATAAAGAGGCCTGAGACCAGGGAGGCTGAGAAACTCGGCCAAGTTCCCATGGGATTTAAAGCGAGGTAGGCTGGCCCCCGAGTTCCTGTACCAATGCCGCTGACCAGCCATCCAGCATTGCCTCATGTGCCAAAGAATCCTGAGAGAGACAACACATTTCTGACAACCTGCGTCTACTCCCTTGAGGGTTTGCATTGTCTCGGCATCAATGCCTTCTTCCAATTTCTGCACCTCTCAGTCCTGCCCTTTTATAGGGCACCCAGCATGGACAGGGGCTTCTGGGAGAAAATGCAGAGAGCATCAGCACTGACCGACCTGGGGCACACGGGGCTCAGCACCACGGGCTTCCAGGAAGGGAGTCGGAAGCCCTTTCCTGAGGAGGAGGAAAGGACCAAAGGACGGAGCATCCCAGCCGGGGTGTTTCAGGTGCCTCCACAGTTGCCTGCAGCCAGACTGAGAGATGAGCAGGTAGAAGGTGGGGACAGGCCATGGCCTGATGAGAGGGAGCATGACGCCCAAGCCTCCGCCGGCTGGAGGGGGCTGCCATGACAGATATGGGGCTGATTCCTGCTTCCTCCTGAATCCCCACCCCCTGAGCAGAAAAGGGAGAGGTACAGGTGCAGGGGGGTGTGGCTCAACGCAGAGTCTCCACTTGTGCATCCAGCAAGGTGGAGCTTTTCTGAGGCCCGTGCCCCTAAAGATGGTGTGGGCGTTCTGTGATCTCCGACAGTGAAGGCTTGGGCCTCCCAGGGGAAACAGCACTTGGAGTGTGGATCCTGTGACAGGGAGCTGGGATTGGCATAAGCAGAGGACAAGGACAGGGATGAGTGTGCCCTTGACCTTGGGTTTCACACCTGCCAGACCTAACAGTCTCTCTCCATCTTTTTCAGCAGCGGTGTCCTTGTTAAACGGATGTTCAGGCCCATGGAAGAAGAGTTTGGTCCAGCACCTTCCAAGCAGATAAAGGAAGAAGGGGTGAAACGAGGTATCTCTCCAGTTGGGGCACGGCCCTCCCAGCGTGGAGGGTGGGGGTGTTTCTCTGAGAAGAGCTGGGAGCCCAGCTGGTGTGCTCGCTGGGGCTCGGTGATGATTCATTCCCACAGGGAGTTTACCGCCTTCTCCTTGGCTTTCAACTCTGTCCTTTGAATCACCTTGACTCAGCCTTGGCTTTTCCTGGGCACTGGTTCTTTGCTTGGCTTTGCAGGAACTGTGATGAATGTGTTGACTCCCTAGCAGGGAGCTACAAGGTCCAAATAGGACCTCATTGGAACCAGTAGCTGAGAACGATTCAAATCACAAGTCTCACACCAACGGATGAGCCTCTGTTTTCTGTGACATCACAGCATACCAAGTTTCTCTCTATCAAGGGTCCTGCTCCATGCCACCCAGCAGGTGGGGGATAAAGCCCAAGCATGGCGACATCTTGGCCAGCAAGACACAGGGCAAGAGGGACGTGTGAGAGTGGCCATTGCACTCCCTGATCCATGGCCGGCTGCAGCCACCACGGAGGGCGTCCACAGACTGCAGACTTGCACGCAACTAAGCTTGAATGACTCCGCTTACCATGTTAGACGGGGCCACCATCCACGCATCCACACGGGCCTGCACCTTTTGTTATTGAGAAATGTGATTTTCTCCTATATGTTATAATGGGATTTGCATAATGGCCAAGGGCACTCAGATGGTCGCCTGCTCAGCCCTCCGCAGTTGTTAAGCTGGGAAAGGTTTTTCACCCTTCTCCTCCTGGGGCCCTCATCTGTGAAACTGCACAGCATTGCCATGAGGGCTAATGATTAGCACATGTGACATGTGCCACTCAAGTGCTGCTTCACACAAGGGGACTTTAGAAATTTTGTGGAAATGGGATTAAAAGATGAGTTTAGAAGCAGGCGTTTGGTGTCAACATTAAGATGCCACGTGGAGTCCCTGCATCCCATATCAAAGTACCAGATTCAAGTCCTGGCTTCACTCCCAAGTGCAGCTTCCAGCTCGTGCACATGCTGGGAGGCTGAGGCTCTGCCACCCGTGTGGGAGACCTGGATTAAGTTCTCAGCTCCCGGCTTCAGTCTGTCCCAGCACTGGCTGTAGCAGGCACCTGGGGTGTAAACCAACAGGTGGGAGGTCTTTATCTGTCTACCTTTATCTCTCTGCCATTCAAATGGCTAAAATAATAAAATAAAAAAAGTTAGGGGTTGGTGTTGTAGTGCAGTAGGTTAAGTTGTAGCTTTTGATGTCGGCTTCCCATGTTGGAGTGCTGGTTCAAATCCCCACTTCCAATCCAACTTCTTGTTAATATGCTTAGGAAGGCAAGCAGCAGATGATGGCCCGAATGCTTGGGCCCTTGCCACCCACGTGGGAGACCAGGATAGGGTTCTTGGCTCCTGGCTTTAGCCTGGCCCAGATCTGGCTGTTGAAGCCTTGTAGAGAGTGAACCACTGATGGAAGATATCTCTGTCTCTCTTCCTGTCCTACCAATCTTTCTGTTCCTCTGCCTTTCAAATAAACACAAAAATAAGCCTGTTTTTCAAAAAAGTTTTAAAAGATAAATTTCTTTTGTTGCAAAGAATTTTGAAATTCATGAATATGAGAGGGTCTTCAAAAAAGTTCATAGAATGGGGCCGGCGCTGTGGCATACCAGGTAAAGCTGCTGCCTGCAGTGCCAGCATCCCCTATGGGTACCAGTTTGTGTGACAGCTGATCTACTTCCGATCCAGCTCCCCGCTAATGTGCCTGGGAAAGCATGCAGAGGATGGCCCAAGTGCTTGGGACTCCTGCACTCCACATAGGAGTCAGCCCAGCCCTGGCCACTGCAGCCACTTGGAATGAACCAGTGGATGGAAGCTCGTTCTCTCTCTCTCTCTCTCTCTGTCTCTCCCTTTCTATCCCCACCCCCGTCTCTGTAACTATGCCTTTCAAATGAACAAAAAAATGTTTTTAAGGTTTTATTTTTTTGAGAGGTAGAGTTACAGACAGAGGGAGAGACAGAGAGAAAGAAAGGTCTTCCTTCTGTTGGTTCACTCCCCAAATGGCCGCAACGGCTGGGAACAAAAATTTTTTTTTAAAGTTCATAGACAATTCATAGTGTGCAAACACTGAACATGGATTTCCATTTTTTTGCATCAAAACAAGCATATCTCTTTTTAAAAAAAGATTTTATTTGAAAGACAGATTTATGGAGAGAGAGACAGGGAGAGGGAACGCAGGAGGGAAAGACAGAGACAGATCTCCCATCTGCTGGTCCACCCCCTAAATGGCTGCAACAGCTGGGGCTGGACCAGGCTGAAGCCAGGAGCCAGGAACTCCATCCAGATCTCCCACATGGGTGCAAGCACTTGGGCCATCTTCTGCTGCTTTCCCAGGCACATTAGCACGGAACTGGATCAGAAGTGGAGTGGCCCAGACTTGAACTGGTGCCCATATGGGATGGCCAGCACTGTAGGTGGGAGCTTAACCCTTTGTGCAATGACACTTGGCCCCATCAATTTATTTTTTAATCCCATCTTTGCTCCCCTTTTTGAGGTCCCCTTGTAGTAAGTACTCTGTTCACCAATATAACAAGGTTCTATCATGCCTGTTTTAGTTTATTGTCATCATCATGAATAAGAAATGAATGTTTCCGAATGGGGAGAGCGTGAGTACATAAATGTTACATTAGCATCAGCTCAGCCTTTAAAGATTTCCTGACTTCTCCATCAAATATTCAAGCACATTCTGAACACCACTTCTGGATGCATTTCCTACTTGATGTCTGCAAATTAGGGCAGCCTTATGTGGAAACCGGGAAGCACACAGACACAGCTCCCCTTCCCCTCCATGTTCCATGCTTGGTGACAAGGAAAAGACCGTGTTTTCCAAGTTCTTTTGAAATTGCAAAGCCGGCAATTTCAAATTGCCTTTAGCGCTTATATCAGGGTGTGAGTGAAAGGTGATGGCCTTTGAAACATCTAGATCACGGAGACACGTGGGGGCGCTGTGACCACCACTCAGGAAAAGGACAGTGGAGTTGGTTACTGAGTCCCTTGCTGGAGCTTCCTGGGCAGCAACGGTCTTCTGACAGTGATCAGGGTCAGCGTCAGTGCCTAAGGTTATTTGTCTGACGTTCCTGAGAGAGTGAGCGTAATGACCATCAAAACCATTATTAGCCCCTCTTCAGAGCCACTTCACTAACGTTATTTGGGGTTGCTCCATGCGGCCACCTGCCTTGGGCTGTCCATGGCCTGGGGTGCGTCATGGTTGTTCTTGTTGCCATTGCTCTGTAGTGGACATGGTTTGATGAAAACTAACTCCCTGGGCAAGCCATCAGCCAGGAAGGTGGGGGATGGGGCATACCACAACTCTTGCATGCCCCAAGCCAACTCTTGGCTGTCCCCAAGCCCGGCAGCCCCATGGGACTGCCCCCACCTGGTGTTCTTCCACATGGCACAGTGCAGCCCTAACACTGCCTGGCCACCCCTGAAGCAAGAGTGACAGCCAGAGAATATCACAGGACCCGCCTTCCAGAGAAGACATTGCCAAGTCCACCGACAGCAGTGCTCATCTTCATACAATATGGTTGGGGGTTCCTGCAGTCAGCCTGCTGGAAATTATTCTTTTTTTTCTGTTGAAGACTGCAGGAACAAATTATAGAATTGCCATTTGGAACACTCACCCTTGGCTTTTTTCCTCCTTGACTTTAATCTCTCTTATCTGGGTATAATTGAGGTCCTCTGCTGTAATTACTTGTCCTTGTACAGCTAACATTGAGTCGTCTTTTAATAGCTGTTGGGTCACTGAATCATTTTAGGTGAGATGGAAGCTACAAAGTGTGCCTTTCAAAGGCCTAAATTTGAAAATCCCTGGAGCTATGTTCAATTGTAGATGTGGAAAAGAAAAGAAACTCTGCAATATTTGCTTTCCCCTCCTCCTCTTCCTCTCTCTCCCTTTTCTTCCCATCATGCACTAACTGAGCACTCACCAGCTGCAGGAAGGAAATGCAGGCCGGCCCTGAGTGCACCCTTGGAGACGTGGCCTTGGTAAAGCAGGTCACTCTAAGAAAGCTCCCAGGGATCAGGGAAAAAGGAGAAGGGGTGAGAGCTTGAATTAGAACCATCTTTTTTCTGGACTCCAGCTGCATCCTTCTAGTTGGTGGGGACTGGAGCTCAGCTGCTGCCTGCCTGTAGTTGGCACCCAGGCTCAGCAGAGTTTTGACCTGTGCATGGGGCTTTGGCCTTGACCTTGTCTGTCTTCTTTCTGAAGACTCAGAAGCCTCACTGGGAGGAGGGAGACAGATGCGGAGACTGTCAGCCCTCTGGAGCTGCAGCATTGCGTCTGGACCACAGCTCCTTGTGTTTTCTGGGAGCTAAGCCACAGCACAGCTGTTACAAGGATAGGTGCAGGCAGGGAAAGCCATGGCAGCCAGCAGCTGGCGTGACAGTGGCACCTGGGGATGTGTCTCAGCCTCTCTGAGCTCAGTTTGTGTGTCTCTAACGATCCCTGGGTCCCTACCATGTCTCATGCTTGGAACATTCTGAAATTCAGAGCGTTGGTTCATAGAAAAGTGAGCAGAAGAGCTGCATTCCACTGTGCTGGGGTCACTAGAACCATGACAGTTGCTTCCAGGTAGCACCCGCTGGCTGGCTGAGACCCGCATGGTTGCCGTGTGCTCGACATGGTGCTATGCGTACCAAGTGGCTCTTGTTTGTTTTCACCCCTCAGCATCCCCCCACAACCTGGGGGGAGGTAATACTGTTATCCCTGCTTCACAGGGAAAATCAAGGCTTGCAGAGGTCAAATGGCCAGGACCACCGCACAGGCTGGCCTGGGGTGTGGAATCCTGAGCCGGTTACTTTGTGTCCATCTCTACTTGCCTGCTGGGCTACCAGTTCTCTTCTTGCCCTGTGCACCTGTTCCTTCTCTTCCAGGACTTGCTCTCCCTCCACTGCTTACACTGACGCCCACCTACCCTTCCTACCCCAGATCTCCCCTTCAAGGTGACCTTGGCTGAGCTTCCCCACTCGCTGCCATCTGCCCAGCAAGGCCAGCCCCCTGTAAGCATGCTTTCCTACCTTCGTCATTCTCACATCTCCTCATCTGCTTATTTGAAGAATCGCTGCCTCCCTAAATGGCTCTCAAACTCCTTCCAGGCAGGGCTGTGACTTCCTAAGTCCTGTTACAACCCCAGCTCCTACCACGCAGCCCAGGGACCCAGGTAGGTCTTCAGCAATGTGTATCAAAGGAACAGATAAGTGGCAGAGAGTGGTGCAGAAGGAGGTGTCATAAAGAGGTCATGCATCCGCCTTGAGAAATCCAAACGTGAACACGTATTTGTGTCAAAGTCTCTTGGAGCCTGGTACGTGTTCCCTGGCTGCTGGTTTGTGTCACGGGATCACTCCTGAGCCGCCCCTGGTCACAGGGTGTCAGTGTCACCTGAGGCTCAGTGGCCTGTGACAAGGGTATGACAAGAAGCATCCCCTGGGGGCTTGTGCCTCAGGGCTCCAGTCCCATCACCGAACTTCTCCCCTTGTCTTTCAGTGCTTCTGTACGTGAGGAAGGAGACAGACGACGTGTTCGATGCTTTGATGCTGAAGTCCCCCACGGTCAAGGGACTGATGGAGGCGGTAAGCCATGGGCCCCTGCTAGCCTGTGGGAGCCCCGTGTGTGTGTGTGTGTGTGTGTGTGTGTGTGTGTGTGTGTGTGTGTGCATGCGCTCCTGAACTGGAATGTCATGATTAAAATGCAGCCAGAATGAGCTTTATATAGAAAAGGGAAGAGCTGGGCTACGTGGAGACTGATCGCAGCTTCTCAAGGAGGAGGAAACTTAGAGAGTGTCCATCCCCTGTCAGTTTTAGGCGAATCACAGTGAGATACTGGGGGGGGGGGGTGTTAAACTGCAAGCAGTCATTTGTCTTTTTGCGCAAAACCAAATAAAATGGCTTTTTATTAATTTGAGTTATACAGATGAGCTCCCATTTGCTAGTTTACTTACCATCTGCCTATGATAGCCAGGGCAGGGCCAGGCTAAAACCAGGAGCCTGGCACTCACTCTGGGTCTCTTTACATCAGTCAGAGAGACCCAGGTAACTGAGCCGTCATCTGTTGACACCCAAGGCGTACGTTAGCAGAAAGCTGGGATCCGGAGCAGGACCAGGACTTGAACTCGGGCACTTGGATATGGCCTAGAGGTGTCCTGAGTGCCATCTTAACTGCTATGCCCAATGCCCACCCCTCCAAGTAGATACGTTACCCTCCAGATACCGAACTAAAATAAGCATCTTGCTAGCTGCGATGGTGTAATTCAGAAAGAATGCTCTCTTGGTTGAGAAAGAAGTATATATAGCAGAACTGTGGCGATTTAGGGTTTTTCTCTTTCTACCCCTGATGCCTGGTATTTCCAAGGTGGGCTCAAGAAGTGTTACATTTTATTCACATGAGGATATCAAAAAGTGGATGAGAATGGAATTAAGATAGGTTTATTTGGTGTAAAAACTCTTGGCATCCATGCAGTTTCTAAACCATAGGTGTGTCCTGTGAACTCTGGGAGTACCCTGAACATGACCTTGATTTCTCGCTTCCTCGTCCACTCCTCTGCTGAGTCCTGAGCCCCACACAGCTGTGACGTGGGAGACTCGGAGTATTCACAGTGACAGATAGGACAGGACTGCCAGAGACATGGCCCAGCGCTGTTGGAGCAGCATCCTGGGCTATAGGGCTGAATGTTAGCATGTGCGGGACAGTTCTGTAAATGCAGCCGAACCACATGTGGTCTGTTGTGGCCGATTGCTTTCAATTACTGTACTTTTTTTTTAGGTTCTTCTGTAAGTCAGTACTTCATTCCTTTTCATGGCCAAATAATTTTATGTGGGATGGGTATACTATGTTTTGTTTTCCATTTTCAGTTGATAGACACTGGATTTCCCCTCCCCCCATTTTTCCTTGAGCAAATACTGTTACGTACAGTCACGTACAAGGTTTGATCCAAACACTTGTTTCTAATTCTTTTGGGTAGAACCAGTGAGGGGCACTGTTGAGTCAGACAGGACAGTTCACACGTTGTAGGATTCAAAAGTGTAGGAAGAGTCCAGAACAAGCAAATACGTGGGGAGGGAAAGCAGGTTAGTGGGTGCTGGGGCTGGGGGCAGGAGCTGGAGTGACATCTTCATGGGCTTCTCGGAGAGTGATAGGCTGTTTTGGAATTACAGAGGTCATAGGTGCACATATTGTGAATGTTCTAAATGCCTCTGAACTATATACTCTAATATGGTTCATTGTGTGTTTTAAAAATTGCCTGGGAGTGTTACCAATGCAGATTTTGCACCACCCTCTATTTTTAACAGTTGATTTCCTGGCAACTCTGAGCAGGGCATGAAGGACCACGCTTTAAGAAACACGGATGGAGGGCTTCTTAGTCTTTTGTGCAAGATTTTTCAGTGGTTGTAAAAGAACATACTGAAAGATAAAGAGCCAGAAAGACATTTCCCATTATTTTTAAAATAATTTATTTGAGAGGAAGAGTTACAGAGAAAGGTCTTCCATCTGCCTGTTCTCCCTCCAAATGGCCGCAAGGGCCAGAGCTAATGCCAGGAGCTTCTTCCATGTCGCCTGTGTGGGTACAGGGGCCCAAGCACCTGGGTCCTCTTCCACACCTTTCCCAGGCCATAGCGGAAAGCTGGATTGGAAGAGGAGCAGCCGGACCATGAACTGGCGCCCCGTATGGGATGCTGGCCTTATGCCACAGTGCTGGCCCCCATTTTGTTTTTAGAAGAAAAAATGTTGGCAACCAGTAGTAAAATGCTGGTTTATCAGCTAGGCAGAACAGAGCAGTGTGACCCCATCCTTCAGCTGGGAACTGAGGTTGGACCTGGAAGGTGCTACATCAGGCAGGCTGTTGACCGGATTGGGGGCGGTGGCAGCATTCCTACAGCCTGAACGTCAAGCCACCCACTAGGATGTAGCAGTTCTCTTGTCTAGAGAACAGGTTGCTCTTACACTCAGCAGGCATTACACTACTCTTCCTTGAGATAATTTTTGAGTTTGCCTTCATTAAAGAAATCTCCATGTAAGACCAAGGTCCTGAGTCCCTTCCTAAGCATGCATTGGGCAGCACATAGGGCAAAGAGTGGCTTATGGAATTGGATGGGCTTGGATTAAACCTGGGGCTGTGTTTGGCAGTCTTTGAGTTGTTGGTTTATTTCCCTGCAAATTATGGAAAATGTCCCCTTTGACTTCTTCCTATCTTGGAAAGAACTCTTAACCCCAGAAAGCGGAAGAAAACGATCATTGAACCTGTGTCACGCTGGGGTACTTTGTTAGAGGACAGATTGGATGATTCTTACTCAGTGGTCCTGAACCTCTCCTAGCTTCTTCTTCTTTTTTTTTTTTTTTTTAACAGACAGAGTGGACAGTGAGAGAGAGACAGAGAGCAGAGAGAAAGGTCTTCCTTTTGCCATTGGTTCACCCTCCAGTGGCCGCCGTGGCCGGTGCACTGCGGCCAGCGCACCGCGCTGATCCGAAGCCAGGAGCCAGGTGCTTATCCTAGTCTCCCATGGGGTGCAGGGACCAAGCACTTTGGGCCATCTTCCACTGCACTCCCGGGCCATAGCAGAGAGCTGGCCTGGAAGAGGGGCAACCGGGACAGAATCCGGCGCCCCAACCGGGACTAGAACCCAGTGTGCCGGCACCGCTAGGCGGAGGATTAGCCTGTTGGCTGCGGCGCCGGCCTCCTAGCTTCATTTGCAAAACATTTCTATTTACTCTCATATTGTTTAAAAGGCGGAGAGAGAGATCTCCCAGCTACTATTTCATCCCCCAAATGCTTACAACAGCCAAGGCAGGACCAGGTCGAATCCAGGAGCCAGTAGGTAAGCTGCTACCTGGGATGCCCACGTCCTGTCTCAGAGCACTGGTTACCCTGCTCCTGACCAGCTGTCTGCTGATGTATCCTGGGATGGCTCAAGGGCTTGGGCTCCTGCTCCCCATGTAAGGGATCCAGATGGAGTTCCTGGATTTGGCCTGGCCAAGCCCTAGTTGTCACAGGCATTTCGGGAATGAACTTTTCAAGTAGATGAAAATAAACATTTTTGAATTTTTTTTTTTAAAGCCAGGAACTCCATCCTAGTCTCCCACATAGGCGTCAGGGGCTCAGGTACTTGGACCATCATCTGTTGCTTCCCAGGGTGTGCTTTAGCAGGAAGTTGAATTGGAAGCAGAGGAGTCGGGACTTGAACCAGGCATCCTAAGCAGCGACTTGACTGACTTAACAGTTGCACCAAATTCCCAACCCCCCTATACCTCCATTTTACCTGTCAGAAAATAATGATCCATACAGTGCTAAAGACCTAGATAGAAAAAGTTCTCCATACGCCAGGTGTTAGGAATATGGAGGAAATACTGTTTGTCTTCCCATCCGCGTGCTGGTATTATGTTAGTTGAGCCATCTGTGTAACACTGGTTGCTATAATTAGGTCTTAAACAATCACAAAGGATTTGGCGGTGGTGGTATGAGTTTTCACATTTTTATGGCATTTGAGTGGTTTTACCTAGTAATCTTACAAAGCCCAGCAAGGTGATGGACACCTCAGGGCTTCCACATAGGCTGTCCCCTCTACCACGTCTACGAGGCTCCCTTCCTCGTCTCTGGTCACACTTTGCCTTATCAGATGGACACTCTCAGACCCACACAGAGAGCCTCCTGTCACTCACCATCCCCTCACCTACTTCACGTTACATCCTGGCACTACCCCCAACTTGCCATGTCTAATACTGACAGACACTTCCTGTTTCTCTCTTCCCCAGAATAATGCAAGATGGGCCTGGGGCTTCGTCTCTTGCTGTCTGAGGTGTATGCCCAGAGCCCTGATGGAATTGAGTGTCTGGCTTTCCACGTACAGCATGCTGAGGACTCTGGGCTGTGTAATCTTCACATGCCCCGCGTCACTCAATCCTTATGCTAACTCTGTGAATGTGGCAGGCAAATAACGTCACCGCTGTACAGATGTGGAAACTGAGGCCAGGAGAGAGGGGTTTCTCAAGGTCTGATTGATGGCTCCACAAAGCGTAGCCACCTTAAGTCCAGTTGGAGAGATGCTCACGTAGGAAGAGTTATTCCAGGAAGAATAAACGTTCCAAATTAGGGCTCACAGTGTCTACAGGGGAAGAGACAAGCCAGTAAGTCCTGTGTAGAGATTGATCCTGATCTCACACAGTCAGACCACGAGGTTCCAGTCCTCACGGATTTGGAATCCAAACCCAAGGTTCCAACCCGTAGGAGTAGTGTGACCTTAGGCAGGTCACTCAACCTCTCTATATGTCAGTGCCTTCATTTCTTTCAGAATAATATTCTTAAATGTGTATACTGAATACAGTAGCATATATATAGGGTTGATGCAAGGATGAACCTAGCATACATGGTACTTCTATGCACATAGAATTTATAGATGACTAAAGACAGTGTATACAAGGGAGTCTTCAAGAAGTTCATAGAAATGTGTATTATGAAAAAAAATATGCAAGGATTTCAGATGACAGCTCAAATACTTGGGTCCCTGCCACCCACATGGGGGACCAGGATGGAGTTCCTGGTTCCTGGCTTCCACCTGGCCCAGCCCTGGCCATTGCAGCCATTTGGGGAATGAGCCAAGGGATGGAAGATCTCTGTCACCCTCTTAAAGGCAGCCTCAAGGAGAGACTAGAACTCTGCAGAGGTGTCATGTTTCACATCGGGCTCATCTGGGCTTGGATGTGGCTTGGGGCACCTCAGTGGTGACAAAGGAGAACTGAGCCACAGGCAGGAACTTGTTCTGCCCCTTCTGAGCTTACTAGGGAAGAGGGGGGATTGGAAGGTGGAAATCTACGATTCCCTGTAGAATAAGCCCCTTCCAGTAGTCAAAGCTATTCCAAAGCTGTTCTTGAACTCTTCCTCCTCTTTTTCTGGCTTGTGCTAGACTTCTCAGTAACCTAAGTCCCAAACCTCTCCTGCCCTAGCTGCCCAGGAGCCCCACCAACCTCTGGCTCAGAAGGGGTTGGCCGATTAGACGTGGCAATGGAGAAGGCATGAGAAGCATGTAGGGTGCATCTCTAGAATCCATCCCTAAACTACTTTATAAAGTGACATAATCATTGTAAAAATAAATAGTGCAGAGCTGTACAAAGTACAAAGAAAGGAATTTGCTTGCTTCTGACATTCTTTAGTGGTAGCCCCTGTTAATAGACCGGTGGGTTCTTAAAATATTTTCTTTAAAAAATTATTCTGACCGGCACCATGGCTCACTTGGTTAATCCTCTGCCTGCGGTGCCGGCATCCAGTCCCGGTTGCTCCTCTTCCAGTCCAGCTCTCTGCTGTGGCCCAGGAAGGCAGTGGAGGATGGCCCAAGTGCTTGGGCCCCTGCCCAATGTGGCAGGGACCCACATGGGAGACCAGGAGAAGGCACCTGGCTCCTGGCTTCAGATCGGCGCAGTGCTGGCCATAGCAGCCATTTGAGGGGTGAACCAATGGAAGGAAGACCCTTCTCTCTGTCTCTCTAACTCTGTCAAATAAAAAAAATTTATTCTGCTTTTAGTTGAAAGGCAGAGAGACAGGGAGAGATCTTCCATCCACTGGTACACTCTCCAAATGCGCACAGCAGCCAGGGCTGGGCCAATCCAAAACCGGGAGTGCAGTCCTCCATCCGGGTCTCCCACAGGGGTGGCAGGGACTCCAGTATCTGAGCCACAATCTGCTGCCTCCCAGGGTGCACATGAGCGGGAAGCTGGATCAAAAGCAAAGTTAATGGGAACCAAAACTGGGCCCTCGTGGGCCATCCTGAGCATTACCTTAACCATTGTGCCCATCACACACCTCTAAATGTTTTCCTATGTACATGTATATATATATACACACACATAAAATTGTATTACGTATACTGTTCTGCAACTTGGTTTTCCCTCCCCCCCAGCAGTTTGAGAAATCATTTAAAATATGAATTCATGTGTTTCCCACATTTCTTTGGATGATTGCAGTTTCCAACTGTGAAAATATCAAAATGTGTTTAAAGAGTGTTTGTCATGTGCGAATTTCTGAGTATAAGCATAGAGCGGATTACTGGATATGGCTCATGCGTGTCAAAGGCGATGTGCGTTTTTTGCTTCTGCCACATTCTTTCCCAAAAGGCTGAGCTTGGGACCCTCCCATCCATGGAGAATGACAGTTGTTGTTTCTCATGCTGACACTATGCTGTCATATTTAATCTGATAAAAGTGATGACCTACTATTGCTTTTGCGATTCCAAAACTATGAGCTAGTGTCTTTTTTTTAAAGTTTATTTATTTGAAGGTCAGAGTTACACAGAGAGAGAGAGAGAGAGAGAGAGAGAGAGAGAGAGAGAGGCGTGGTCTTCCATCCACTGGTTCACTCCCCAGTTGGCCGCAATGGCTGTGCTGACCTGAACCCAGGAGCTTCTTCTGCGTCTCCCACATGGGTGAGGGGCCCAAGGACTCGGGCCATCTTCTACTCTGCCAGGCCACAGCGGAGAGCTGGATCGGAAGTGGTGGGGCTACCTGTTAATCCAACATCATGGTGAGGGTCCGTTGTTTTCCTGATCTGAAATGACACTTTTATCACACACTGGGAGAGCTTCAGAAAAGAGCATTTTGTGAGCTTAACTCGTGAGTGAAGAGGACTTTGCGTGTGGGAAAGCATCCGAGAGAGCAAAATTGGACCTCTGCTCTGTGCCTCCATCGGTTCCCCTTCCACGCTCATCTGCCCTTTTGTTCTTGGTGTTGCAGATATCTGAGAAGTATGGGCTGCCTGTGGAGAAGATAGCAAAGCTTTACAAGAAAAGCAAAAAAGGGTAAGAACGAAATTGAACTGAACTTGACTTCCAAACTACTTGATGCCTTAAAAACAACAACAACAAAAAGAGTGCCTGTCCTGTTAGTCCCATTGTCCACCTTCCATTAACAGTTGTGTGTCATTCTTCCCAAGGGGGCAGAGCACCTGCAGGGGTAGGGCACTCTGAAGAGCTCCGAGGAGAGCAGGGAGACTGAGCACAGTGTGCATCGTTGTGATGTCAGCCGAGATGCCCCGACTCCAGTGACAGGAGTAGCAAGTGCACTTCAGGGGCTGCAGGTGGTGAGGACAGGAAAGGCATCCCCCAGAGTGCAGGAAATCAAATGGGGGGCTCTCGGAGTCTGTTTCATGGTGGCCAAGCAGGAACAAAAATGACTCAGGATTGAGGGAATTCTATTAACAAAATGTGCCCAAATGGTCACTGGATCTGCTTGTTCTCATTGTTAAGAACAATCGCTCGTATTTCCTGGGTGTTAACTTCTGGAGCCCCTGCTAAGTATTTGCATTTCTCTATTTACTCCTCACTGCTCTGAGTAGTGAGGATTATTACTACCTCTGCTGATGAAGAGAAGCTAAGCCGGAGGGAGCTCCTGCTCCTTCCCCAAGGTCTCCTATTAAATACTTGAATCCAGCTCTGTGGCCTCAATGCTCAGCTCCCGCATTCTGCCCACTCCGGGGTGATAATAACGTGTGTATCACTCCCCGCAGCAGTCTTGACGGTCAGTATCATCATTGCTGTTCTGCAGATGGGAAAAGTGTGCTCCGCGAGGCCACATCATTCCTCTCCTTGGAGCTGTCCTGGGGATATGGTTGCAAAAGCAGTGGCCCCAGGAGCTGGGCTTCACTGACTCGTAACTAAAGCAGACAGTGGGTCTTTAACCTTCTCTGGACCTTGTTCGTAAAGGCAGTCCATGATGTGGGCTGCGTAGGCTCTCTGAGAGACGAGGCCTCTTGTTGACCAGAAGCCCTTCCCACACGAGCCTTGGTTGGAAAGCCCATTAAAGCGCATGTTCCAGTTCTTTCCCAGGTCTGTGCAGGAGGCTGGGTATAGTCCTTTGCCAGGGCGAGTGGAGTGGTAGCTCCAGGCCTTCCTGCCAAGCAGAAATCCTCAGCGTAGATCAGATGTTCATGGTGACAAGGGGAACATTTCACTGTCATCTGGCACTGAACGGCTGAACAACGTGCCTGGGGACACAGTGACCGACAGAGTGCTTCATTCTCAAGCTTAGATCTGCCCTCATAGAATGAGAGCGGCTGAAAGACGCTCAAGTCGCTGACTTTCTTCAGACTAAAGCCATCAGGAAGAGTTGGCCAAGGAGCAGGGCCCGTGGCAGGGCGATCCGAGCTTCAGCTTTGGGCAGAGCTGGTCAGTCAGTCACGCCCCAGCTCAGTGAATGTGGGCACGTGATCTGAGCCGAGCGGTCACTTGCAAATCGGCAATGGCAACACCAGCCTGCAAGGGTGCTGTGAGGGTGGACGGGCGGATCCGTCAATGCGGAACCAAGAGGAGCTGCAGGTGTCGCCCGTTTCCCTCCTCCATGTCGGCAGAGGCGATGGGGGGGCGGGGGGCTGACCAGAGTGAGGGGGCCTGACCAGAGTGAGGGGGCCTGACCAGAGTGAGGGGGCCTCGCTCGTTGGGTCCCAGCTGTGCTTTCAGGCTCTGTTAGCTTTTCCTCCAGTTAGGAATCCATGCTGAGGGCTGGCTTGGGCCATCTCTCAAGCACGAGGTGGATCTCAGAAATGGAGACTTGGCCGGCGCTGCAGCTCACTAGGCTAATCCTCCGCCTTGCGGCGCCGGCACACCGGGTTCTAGTCCCGGTCGGGGCGCCGGATTCTGTCCTGGTTGCCCCTCTTCCAGGCCAGCTCTCTGCTGTGGCCAGGGAGTGCAGTGGAGGATGGCCCAAGTGCTTGGGCCCTGCACCCCATGGGAGACCAGGAGAAGCATCTGGCTCCTGCCATCGGATCAGCGCGGTGCGCCAGCCACAGCGCGCCGGCCGCAGCGGCCACTGGAGGGTGAACCAACAGCAAAAGGAAGACCTTTCTGTCTGTCTCTCTCACTGTCCACTCTGCCTGTCCCAATAAATATCTCAATGGAGACTTGGCTGTCCTGGAGCTACTTCTTGGGGAAAATTGAACGAGCGTGGTTCGCTGCCCGTGTCCTCTCTCTCCTCCACCCCAGGGAGTGCACTGTTCATGCCATCTTTCCTGTCCCCTCCCCCTTACCCCATGGCAGCATCCTGGTGAACATGGACGACAACATCATCGAACACTACTCGAACGAGGACACCTTCATCCTCAACATGGAGAGCATGGTGGAAGGCTTCAAGGTCACGCTCATGGAAATCTGAGGCCTGCACTTGGCCTCTCTCCCTGGGACAGATGGGCCCTGCCCCGGGGCCTGGAGACTGACCTCACCCATCTCACAACTGCTGTTACAAGACCACGCTGGGCCGCGGGGCCAGGCACAAGACCATCAGCAGCCCCCTGGACCTGAAGCCTGGGCCCCTTGGGAAGGGACAGTGGGCCTGTTGGATCCTTATTTATTGCCCACTTTAGCCCAGAGTCCAGGCCCTCCAGGACTCTGCAGGCCTCGACAGGCTCCAGGTGAGACCACCAGGGTCCCCCTTCAAGGGAAACACAGCCCAGCCACACGTCCCAAAGAGCCTGATAAACACTCGTCCCTTTCTTCCCATAGCTCCCGAGATCTGGACAACACCTCCTTGGTGCAGGAGGTGCAGGTGTGGGGGAAGAGGTGGGTGTCCCTTTCCTGATCAGAGCCTGCAGGTAGCTCTGGTAAGGTCATGTGGGGACACAGCTCCCCTGGGCCTGGAACAGGAAGACATTGAGCTACCGTGTAAGTAGCAAGGACCAGCAACGCATGCCTGACGGTCGTGTACATAGTGTTCATAATATTGCAATAATATATTTTCCCCGTGGTATGTGGGCGTGTTTACTGCCCCTGGCCTGGGGAGGCACAGGCTGGAGACTCTGTTTTCTAGAAGAGCTTTCTGCATCTGTGCCTGTTCAGAACACCTGCTAGGCTGGGGCGAGTGGCCTGGGCCTGTGGCAGGTGCCAAGATGGACGCTTCCCTCCCTGAGGCCACGGCATTCATCTCATCACCATCGCTCTGGACTCCTCCTGCAGCTGGCTCTTGAGAAAGGGGAACGGTCCGAGGCCTGGGGCACTGCCTGAGCTTTCTGGAATGACTGTGCCTGCAGTAGGCACCCCTGGCCTGCACGAAGCTCCTGGCCACTGCGTCGCGCCTCAGTTTACAAGCACGTCATTCATCTCAAGGGGCCACTTCGGAAGCCCCGCTGCAGTCCGAAGGCCTGGCCATGGCTTCCTCTGGGGCCTTGAGGCCAGACAGGAAGACATCTACCCCTGGCACCCACCGCAGTGAAAGGAGCCGGGGAAGAAGTCCTAGGGTGCCTTGCTCTTCCAAAGCCAGCCTCGGGAGGCAGACGGGAGAGAGAAGGCCTTGTCCTTCTGCTCCCAGCTCTGGAAGAAGTGGAGGAGTCAAGACACTTCCGCCCACAGCCACTGGACAGTGACCTGCTGGGGGCCACTGTTCTCTGTGCGGGGACAGGGAGCTGAAGCACTAGTCTGCAGTAGTCAGACGCCGCCCATACCCAGGGCCCAGAGCTGGGGCAGGGTTGGCGGAAAGGGCCAGATTATAAAGCACTTTGAGGTCTTACCTGGAGGTCCCTCCCCCAGGACTGCCTGCCTCTGAGGCCAGGGGCAGGGCGGAGGGGCTGCTCCTAGCCCAGCTGGTGTCCCCTGAGGCTGAGGAGCCACGGGATGGATGGAGAGCAGGTGCTGTGACCAAGGAGGTGGGGAGGGGCACGCTTCTGTGTGTCCTCTGGACCTGTGAGCCCTACCTGCGGTGCCAAAGGCTGGCCCCCTGGACTCAGCTCTGCTCTCCTCCCCCACTCCAATTGCCATGCCCTGGGCCAGCAGTTTGGGAACCATCCTGGGTCCTAATGCAGCTCTGAGACACACAAAGTTGGAAATGTGATGTCCTGTGCACCTTGGCTTAGCAGTGGTTTCCAACACGATGGGCAGGTGTGACAGCTGGGGCACGGGCTGCCAGGGGAGGGAAGAGACAAGCTTGGGGGCAGCCTCATTCAGACAGCCTCCCCTTCTCTCTGCAACCCTCGCTGGTCTCATAGAAAACGAATCAGAGATGCTCTTGCATTGGTCCCAAGTCCCCGAGCGATCATTGTGGTGACCTTTGTCAGAACAAAGGATGTGAGGCCAGTGCCACGAGGGGGTGGTGTCAAGTGTCCAGGCTGACCCGTCCCCTCTGCGGTCCCGGAGCTCCTAGAGCTGGCATTGGCGTGCCCTTCAGCGTGTTAGCAAAGCTTTGACGCAAACTTTCCCCAGCCAAACACTCCAGAAAGATAGGAAACTTTGCCTCTTCTCTTTGCGTCCTCTCATCATATTCAAATAAAGACGACTGGAAATGTAGTCCACGCATCATGGGGGCACAGGAAGTGTTTTTGTATATCCTCACATTACCATCATTGGGATCAACAGGAAAATGAAATCTGCTGTCACTCTCCACTTGGTTCCTGGAAGACTAGGGTGCATCTCCACCCAGAGAGTTTGGAAGCATGAAACAAATCCGGCGTCTGTTTTCCTTATTTAAAATCATGAAAATGCAACAGAAATAGAGGGCTTGTGCCAAATTCTACAAACGGCCCTTTCTTAAATGCAAGCAAGGGAGATGGATATTCATACAATTTGCTGTCATGCTAAACGAGTTAAAAAAAGGCAAATGTAACTTAATAGTTTTGTAAATGGGAGAGGGGGAATCTATAAATACAGGTATTTTATTTTTTGTACATTTTTAAGAAGAAAAAATAAATATTCATAAGATAAGAGAGAAAATGACAGTGCCTGGCCCTTTCTTGGGAGTGGGTGTTAGCACTCGTTGCTCAGTTGGAAAGAAAGTCTCATGGGATCAGGGAAAATTCTAGGCTCCTCACTCACCTTGCAAGTCCTGGGCATCAGTACAGCAGTGCAACCCCTAAAAGTCACTTGTTGCTCTGCATCCCAACATTAAATGAGAAGAGGGCCAAAGACACGGGGAGGCCTCCAGTGTGGCCACGGTGGGCTCCCCAGGCTTGTTCTTGGCTAATCTCTCCCACAGGAAGTAGGTTCTGGCCATTGACTTCTACTGAGCTTTCACCAAAACTTGCTTCTTCCCTAGTCCCTCTGTGCCCTCATCAATGTGCAAGCCACACGGCTGAAACATCAATGGCTCAATGCACCATCCCAGGAGGCACTGGGGTTTCCTTGGTGACTGCCATGCTTCAGAGAGCCACCCACACTACTTTCATCATCACCCACAATTCTCTCCCAAGAGCCCCCCTGTTCCAAACGTTGGTCTATCTACATTCTCCCACATCCTCCCTTCTGTCTACTCACGTCCACAACGTGCAAATCCTGGCTGGAATTTTGCCTTCCAGAAGCCTTCCCTGACTGGCACAAACCCAGCAGCATCTCCAGAGGCCTCTACGCCTGCACCAGGAGCAAGGAAGGGGAAGGCTGGGTGTGCTTGTTGCGTCCACTGAAGACACTCCTGGGGCTAGAAATGAGCTGTCTGCCTTGTTACAGGCTCAGTAGGAGGGTTCAATGCTCCCTGCAAGTACCCAGGTAGGTTGTGCTGGGATGTAGGGGTATTGCCACACCTGCCCTGCAGCCACAGCCTCCCCCACCTTATAGGTTGCCCATCTCCAGCTCCCTAGACTGGGACTGTGGCTAGGCAGGGATGACCCACTGTCACTACCACAAGGTGCAGTAGCAGCTCTTGACTTGCACTGGCCATACTAAGTCAGTCCAGCCACTATGCACCACGATAGAGACAGAAGCAAGGTAGACACAGCGTGCCATGACAAGGCAACGTGACAGTGACGTGCTGTCATCAGCACAGCCATAAAAGTTGGCCCTGAGAGAGTCAGGGCTCTGGCCACTCCTGCTCCCAAGGCATGCAAATCCCTCTTACCCTGAGACACTCACAGCTTGATGAAGGGGGACGACTGGGTGGGAGAAGACTCACTGCAGCGTGGGTCTGAGCCAGGCCAACAGGCACCCCCAGGCAGAGGTCACCTGTGGAGGAGTCCCAGGGCCAGACCCCGCCCACGTGCCCTCACTGACTTGGAGCAGCATGGGGAGGGCGTGGCTGCAGCAGGCTGTCCGCCAGCTCTGCTCCCAGCTGCAGGTTCTCCCAAGGGAAGAGCAGGGTGGGGCCAGTCCCTTCTAATACCCCAAGAGTCTCATGCAGGCTCCCCTGGACACCTCCCGACTGAGTGTTCCGGCCTCTGATGTGCCGCAGCTTTTGTCCCCTTGCGTCCCTCATCCCTGCCCTTCTCTGAACTCCTAAGTGGGTGCATGGGGTAGAAGACTCAGGAATTCAAGGAGAGACAGAGAGAGCTCCTGATCAACCGGAGCAGTAAAAAAGAGGGGAAGAGGTGAAAAGGCAAACACCTTCCATCATGCGAGTCTCAGGGAGACACATTTCCTATCAGCCAGCCTCGTAGCTAGTGTGTCACACGTTTCTGAGATGCTGGATGGAAGTTACCAGCTCGCTTTCCTGCTGCTTTGCCAACAGCGCCTGCCTCCTCCCTATCCACACACCTTTCCAAGCCCTGGCTATGCTTGGTATCATGTTGGGTGGCCACTGAACACTCCACGTGGGTAGTTACACTTTGGTGTTCCTGTGCTCTCCTCTCCTGCGTCACTGACAACACTTGGAGTCCTGCTTAGCTGGGCAGGGCATGGAATAATGACCTCCAAATACAGCCTTGGGTTTATCAATTCGCTGGAAGTTGCCAGGGTGCAGGGGCACAGGCTCCTAATCAGAGCTGAGGCTCCCAGCCACCTTCTCACCATCACTGATTGGTATTATTTGTGCTCAGTTCTCATGGGGATCAGAGCCACTGCCAGACTCGGAGACCAATTGCAGGCAGTAGGAAGAGATTTCCTGTCCAAGCCAACTTGGCTCCCTCCCATGTGAGGTCTGGTTGGCCAGGGAGGCAGCACCGCACCTGGTACTCAGGCTGCAAACTTAGTGGCCCTTCCTCCTCCATACCTAGACAAAGGGTGCCTTGGGTCTGTGGCCTGGCCCACACACCCACTCGTACAGCTGGGTTCCTAGGACAGAAAGCATACCCAGGAGGAGCCTCAGGAGGGCCCAGATTCCATCGAGGTGGGAGGGTCAGCACGTTCCAGACAGTTGTATCAAACAGTGAACACGCTTTCCTGCCAGCCAAGAGCTACGCGAAGTCAGCTGTCAGAAGGGGGCCGCTCTGTGTGATGCAACTTAATGTGGCATTCAAGGCATATGTGTGAAGTCCCCTGGGGGAGACTGATGTGATGGGGCAGCACCCTCCACACCCCCACCCCACCCTGCACGAGCTACAAACCACTCAAGCATGCTAAAGCATCCTTCAGGGCCTAAGTCACTTTATTCCAGTCCCTTGGGCATCACAGGCTGGCTTTATTTGGAACAAAACACACCCCATTTTCACAGGTCCCCCACACAGCAATGACCATGAGCAGCCCAGCACAGGAGTGACAGAAACCATCAGGTACTCAGCCCTCTGCGTGCTGTTTAATCAGTCCGTGGGCCAGACTCAGGTGCATCGGAGTGGACATACCAAGGTCTTCCTGGGAAGCAAGAAACGCAGAAAAGCAACCATCAGGGGAAATACAGGTGGAGTCAGTGGAGGGCCGGCTTCAGGGCGGTTTCTCAGTCTTCGGGGAGCATTGGTGGTCGCTAGCCGGGCGTCTGGCTGTTTTCTCTCCTAAACAGCTGGGGACCTTTGTCGCTCCAGGTTCTAAGGAACAGGGTGGGTCTGGCCCAATAAGAAGTCACGGCCAAGGAACGCTAGTCCATCCCAGTCATCAGAGGAGAGCGCAAAGCAGGGATTAGGTCATCATCCAGTGCAGGGGACAGCAGAGTGCGTCTCCTGAACACAATGGACAGCGAGTGCTGGGCCGCCTCACCCACCTGCTGCCCCACACCTCCCCAGGGTTAATCCCCTTGTTTTCTAAACACTACCTGGCCCATCGAGGAGTCTGGTAAGTCTTGATTGAGAACAACTATTAGGAACTGGCTCTCATGAAGTCTGGGATGGTTTCACTGAGCCCGGTCTCAAAGTTTTGCTCTACAAAGCTGCTTCCTGCACACTTGCCAGAATTTTTGTGACCACTTAGAACGAACTCAGGTCATGCACCGGAACCGGATGTGAGAAGGGGCTCAGTGACATTTTCCTCGTGGCCGTGAGGTTCTTCTGCCCACGGTTCCTGTTCCACAGGTGGTGACGGGGGCAGCACACAGGCCCCCTAGGGCCTGCGCTGCCTCCTCCCCAGGTAGCTTCCCCACCTTTCTCCCTAAGGGCCTGTGGCCTCTCCTGCCCATGCTCGTGCACCTCCGGCATGGGACCAACAGCGTTGACTCTCAGCTTTCGATTCAAATGTTCATGTCCGAGGTCGCCAGCCCAGACAGCAGCTCAGACACGTGCTGTCCCCTCTAGAAACAGCAATCTGCATTCAAAGAACACATCGAGGGAAAGAAAACACAACTGCTGGACTCTCCCACAGTGGGCCCTGGAGGCACGGATGCACCTGCCCAGGCTGTCCGTGTGAGGAATTAGATGACTGCCTGAACTCCGACTCTTTAAAGGGTGCTGGGGGTGTGGAAACACAAACATCCTAGAGATGGCTCTTTAACCATGTACACACACAGATGAAATCCTTGGAAAGTTTGGAGAATTTAGGCTTATTTTCTTTTTGGAGTCTGCAGAACACTGATCTCAAAAAAGCTTCCCCTCGATCTAACGCTGCGTGACCTGCTGGGCTGGGAGCCAAGCAGCAGCCCCGTTCCTCTCACAAATGTTCACCTCTTCCGGGGCTCTGGTCAGCCTTCCTTGCACCTGTGCTGTGACTCTGGAAAAGCATCCTAAAGAGAGCTGGGCCTTCGCCAGGGCTACTCCGTGCTTTTATGGAATATATAAAATATACTTGTCGATTGGTACGTTTGTGCAAAGACAGATAACGACTTTAAAACAAGACAGACATTCATTCTAGTTGGCTTACTTCACAATAAGCTACTGCATACAGTCTTCTGGAATAAGATTGTATTAGTGCTCACTACACATGCATGTCATTTAAACAAGGCAAAACACTTAATTTGGTCTGCAATACCCGATATTGTATATACAGCAGTCCTCGCCTTCTTTCCATCACAATAGGCAACAAGATGGGTCTGGTTTTGGAATATGTCACCATTTGTGTTTAATTTCCAAAGAAATCGTATTAGCTCAACTAGTGTAAACCTGTGAAAAAAACAGCTGAGCCATCTTTTCCCTCTCCTCTATAATTCACCTTGAAATGTTCACAGCTTAGAAACTACAGCCTGTTGGGGCGGAGGGTGGAGCAGGGGGCTCCACGGGAGATGTCCCGGCTCCGCTTAACAGCCTCCCCGCCGAAGGGAACTTGTTCTTGCGGTATCCTACCTCTGGTGCCACCCATCGCTCCTCCGGGCCTGCGCTGCCGGAGACAGATGGGGAATGGGAGTGGTCTTTCCAACAAAAGCCCCTCTAAGCTTGCGGTGGGATTACCAGGCGGGATGAGCTTCCCTTCTCTGATCCCCGGAGTCTTAGGTTTAAGAACAGAGACATTAGAATCAAAAGAGAAAAACCAATAATGATTAAAAATTGTCAAACAACAAACACCACGAAGTCTGTCCATGCTTGCCAACAAGCGCACGGGGGGCTCTGGGCATTCCCACAAAGCGTCCACAACAAAGGAAGCTGAAGGCGTCACGGAGGAAGGTGCATCTGACCGCACAGGGGACAGCATCACCATCAACATCATTTGGCAAAAAAAAAAAAAAAAAAA